ATATTTTTACATAATAAAGTACTTATATTATTTTGTAGCCCATTAAATAAATTATAATATCAGTAGAGTATTTATGAAATTAGATTGTTAGAAAAATTAAGGGGGCGCAATATTTTTTTTTTTTTAAAGGGGGGCCCAGGTACAAAAAGGTTGGAAACTACTGCAGTAAGGTAAAGACCAAGACTAGAAGTTTTGTTTGGCTCATCACTAAGATTATGTAAATTTTAACTCCGTTAAATGGCTTTTTTTTCAGCGTTGAGGGTATCGATTAATAAAATAAAATTTATTGCATTTCACCGTAAATGAAAATTCGGCCGGACTACTTTAAGATAGAAAACTTGACTTATAACGTTATCAAAAGGAAATGAAAACAAGTGATTCTCGGTCGAAGCAGATTTCCGCCTCGGTTTCGACTACCGAATTTCGGTCAGATTAAGGGTAATAAAAGTTGCTGCAAATGACTGCCATAAATCTCACCTGCGTGTTACTGGTGGGACTGGTGGCAGGGGTGATTTCCTTGCGGGTGTGAGTGGTTTCACCACTTTCGAGACCCGGTGCAGCTGTCGAAATCGGCACTTCGGACTGCAGGTAATTCTCGTAGACATCTGCGCTTACGTTCTGCGGCAGTCGAACTAGAACAAAAGAAAATTCGTTAAGACATCCACTAATCACTTTTCTGCTTAATTGGTCCGTAAATTTTAGCGAATATAAGAAATTACTTCTTACAATCAAACCTACGATCTTTATTCCTGGAATGGAATTGTGATATGCCAGGATACTGAGTATTTCTTACAATCTTTGTATGTGCAGGATGACTGAAAATTGCTCTTATTCCTCTCGGGAGAATAAACTAACACTAATTTGGAATGATTTAACTTGGGGTTCGGAAATGCACCATTTTCGAGAAAATCTGTTTCGATTTTCAATGTGTGACACATTTTTTAGGACACAACATAACATCTAATAGTGAATTTTGTGGTTATTAGCTTTATAAAATTCAGATCCTTGTAACAAGAAAACCGAAGTAGATTTTCTAGAAAACCCCCCATTTCCGACCCCCAAGTGAAAGAGGTTCAATCATTCCAAATTAATGATATTATCTTCTCCCGAGAGCAATACGAACAATTTCCAGTAACCCTAAGTATATAAAAAAGCTTGTCCTGGATGACTAACTGATGATCAACGTACAGCCGAAACTACTGGATCGATTCCACTCAATTTTTGGTAGCATATCCTAATTATTACACAGGGGCGCATTAAGGACAGAATTCTATGAACATCGCAGTGACGTATCAGCATTTCTTCACACCCTTTTATATGTACGATAATATTCTCGGAGAGATTTCATAATAAACATTAAACTGAAATTAACTTTCTATCGTCTACATATTACTCGAAATTAATGGAAAAATTTGTTGCATCTGTTACTCCTTCGCCGGGAATCGAACCCAGGCACCAGGTGTTACCCACCAATACTCTACCACTAAGCTAAAAAAGGTGACATGAGCAACAACGATATGTACCCCCAAGATGTCACAGGTATCAAATACGAAATATTTAGTTCTCATTAGACTGCTTTCTATTAAAAGCACAGCAACGAATTTAGCCGTATTTAGTTTTAAGAGACAGAAGTAATTCTTTAATCACCAAAGTTCTGATAATTGTGCAGTTAGATTACTGTAACTATAATTATTCATCTACATTGCTCTTGTACGTATTTGTGTTTCTTGGGTGCTTTTAACTTATTGATTGTCTTTTGTTCGTTTTTGTATAACAACTTGATTATTTACATTAGTGTTTTCTGTACTTTTAATTATTAAGTAAGAAACGCTAAATAACTAGGTGTCCATGTTTCGGGAATTATTAATGATTTTATAAGCAGTTTTGGAAAAAACTACATTTTATTGAAACAGGCGTATAGGTTCAGAAGTTTACTTTTTTCAAATAAATGCATTTAGCTTCCGAAAAATTAATTCATTTCAGTTCATTCTCATGCTAAAAAGAGTAAAGTTTACTTGGTCCTATGTATATTTGAAAATTTTCTAAACAATTGAGTATAATTCAGTCGTGTTTTCGGTAAAATAAAATTGTATAAGTACCTATATAAAACGAATAAGTATTTTAACTACACGTACAGCTGCTTAATGTTTTTCAGTAAAACGATTAATAGATACCTACCGAGAGTCACTCCTGGTGCCGAACTTAATAGCTTAAATAAACAATGTACCGGAAAACACGAACGTAAAATTTAACGCTGCAGTAAAAGAAATCTATCCAATAAATCCCAAAAACTGTAACACGCCACAGATAATTCTAAAGTCTCGTCGACCGGAAATTATTGTCAGTAAACTGGAAACCGATACATTACTGCTTAAATCGATGATCAGAGAGAGTAACATTGTAATCGAAAATTTTATACATACATATATGTTATGTTCTTCGTTGTGCTTCAAGAGAGCTCTTTAAATTTCTTAAATCCACAAATATTATATCACATTTAATATAGGTCGTAGGGTTGTCAGAGTCCGAAAACTGGTTGAGCGCACATCTCCACTCCCTCTTATGGTGGGTCAATTTTCGCAACCGTAACTAAGCATTTGCGAACAACAATCTATTCTCATCGTATTTTCTTTTATTGATTTTGACAGCGTCCTTTCATCTCCAATTTACCTATTCTTTCTACTACCTTCTCATTAAAACCTTTTCTATCTATGCTTGGTATTACTTTCATCGTTTCTCTAAAAGTCTAAAACACACTGCATACTTATCACTCAGTCTTGCTACAAATATACACTATGCCTGATCAGTACTCCAGAAAAATACATAAAAAAGAAAAAGAATGAGCCATATCGCACTATTCAGTGACATATATAAACATGAGGGTAATGACCTTATCAAAAGCCCCAACTACTTCAGTATTCGCGTGATGCCGCCAGTGCGTTCTCATTGTACTGTTCGTATGTGACCACCACGTCTGTAGATTCTGGGTGAGAATATTTTTTGTATGATATTTTCACCCTCAACTTATTTCTGTTTTTTGTGGTAGTAGCAGTAACTTTGTCAATTGAATAGTAACTACGGAGTGCAGCCTACTACTGATCACTACACTCGCAATTCACCTGTCTGTGTACCAGTTGTTGCGAAGGTCACGAGTAGGTATGAGTGTTTCGTCACTTGACGCTTGCCAAACTGGCAACTGTTCTCAATATTGACGACTGGTTAAATGGGGTACTTCTTGTGCATACTTTTTACACCCTTTACGCTGTTACGCTATTACAAGATGCACCCTACACTGCCTCCAGATGTTACCTATCAAATATTCCGGAATACTGATTAGACGTACTGTATAGGTATATATTCTTAACAATATTTTTCGAATTTCTTGCAGATTCTCCGTTGTTCTTGAACAGCAAATTTTCATGGTTACTTATAGACGATGTATCACATTCAGTGTACTTATTGTTTATTTTGGAGTGGCCCAATTTTCATAAAATTGACTATTGCCTATTGCAGTATTTACTTGGGCTTGTATTTATTTTCTCTGGTAATACGAATAAAGTACGAAATGAGTAAATTCCCGCGTGTATTTACGTAGAACATCGTTGAAAATTCCCCAGTTCTCTATAATAAGGAATTTACCTTTCAAACGATAAACTTTCGGGATGGGTATTCAAGGACTTTAGATTCGGCTTTCACCTGTCCGATTCAATGGAGCGTGGGACCATGTTTATATTTCAAATACAAAGTCAACAGATGCTGGAACGAAGTTAATTAACTAGAACCGAAGACGGGAATGCGCTAGTGCTGTGTTTTCAGAAAACCGAGGGCGATTTTGGAAAGTTACCGCCAAAATAGGAAGACTGATTAAGCACAAAACGAAGATTTATGATTGTTTACTTACGTCTTAAAACGGAAAATTGAACCCGTATTATTTCAAACTACATAGAAACGGCCGTCTTGGCGAATAATGGAAAAATATTCCAACCGTTCTAATATTATATATGAAATTTCTTTTATATATAATATCATGAGTGCTGTCAGCACAGGGCAATGTAGTGTTACATAGTTAGTATCAGCAATTTCTTATGCTGAAGTGTACGATGTGTTGCATACCTATTTACAAACAATTCCTTTAAATTGAATTTTTCAAACAATTTTTAACACAAAGAAAGTGATTAAACAAATAAATAAACAGTTTCGAGCTAATAGTGACTGATAAGGGGGAAGAACTAGCACTATATAGAGAAAGTGCGCATATGTTTATTTCCAAGATGATTCTTTCTTAAATAGTTATTTTTTTTTTTCTAAAAACATATTTCGCAGTACTAAAAAGTACAAAGTTCCCACGATATCTTGTGCGTGACAGTGTTATTTTCGTTTTGATCAAGTCTTTCTTTCGCGGTTTTTATTTTCATTCTCACGACTTCGAGAGCACGCCTGTCGCATTGCACTCACCGACTTGACAATAAAAATATAATAACAAAGACATTTTGCATTGTGTCTCCAAATTGAAGATGCTGNGTCGAATTTTTTTAACCATTACAAACTACCTCAAGTTAATGAGTTGTCACAACCAACAGCAACGACTTTCCCTCATTAACTTGAGGTAGTTTGTAGTGGGTAAAAAAATTCGACTAATGATTTTTCATATTAATAGAAGTCTAATATATACACTTTATAAATTTTCTGACTGTTACTACGTATTGTTAAAAATATTTTGAGAGTTTAGGAAATTTTTCAAGAAAGCAGGTGATAGAGGGGGTTGAAAAAATATATTTGAATCTGCTATATATGCGTCACCAGTGGCAAAAAACAATTACTTAATGACAAAATATTAAAAGCTCTACCATGAGGAAATTATATAATAAACTAAGTCAGCTACCCTTTAATAAAATTAGCCGGGTGATAAACTTGGCCATAACGGGGTAAATGTCGAAGGAATACTGAAGCAATCGAATATTCGCTTTTGTGTATACGCATTCGCATGCATGTATGTACAATATTTGTATGTGTTGGAAGTTTGCTAGCTGCCATGGTTGGAGTTTAACCAAACTAGCGCGCTCAAGTTTAGGAATACGTATACGAAAACGACAGGCTCGATTATGAATATGAAAGCAACAAGCAATAGGAAGTTTATATCTTCATGGAAAGTTATTTGACGTTATGATTTATTAAAATAACCCGAGGCATGTGCTTCAAAATCCCCGTCAGGCAGCAGAGAAGTCGCAATGAGTAACATATGGTATATTTACAAAAATAGAATGCGTATACCACAAGCTTATGTAAAGATATTTTATATTTCGAAAACAATTTAATTGAAAATGTCAAGTCCTTTTGGAAGTATGTTAATAACCTAAAGTCTAATAACAGTTTTTCCTCTTATACATGCAAATCGATGACATGCAGTCGTCTGTGCATAGCAAATCATTTTCAATCTATTTTCGAGTCCGAGCTCTAATTATAAACTTTATGAAGTTCACAGCTTTTCGCCAACTCCGTCCAGCATTTCTTCATTTTCGCTTAAACAGGCGTTCCTCTCAGTTCGGGAATCAGTTAACTCCGGTCCTGACGGCCTGCCTCAATGCTTCATCAAGAAATGTCAGCTTGTTCTGAATGAAGCTATCTTAGAGCT